TTGGTTGGTTGGTTGGTTGGTTGGTTGGTTGGTTGGTTGGTTTTGTTTTTCAAGACAAGGTTTCTCTGTGTAGCCCTGGCTGGCCTAGAACTCACATTGATCCGCCTGCCTCTGCCTCCCTAGTGCTGCATTAAAGGAGTGGGCCACCACATCCAGCTTCCACTTGTTTTTCTTAGGTGTTAGGGATTGTTCTTGAATGTTTTTATCAGGAAAAGAAAAAATTGGTTTCCTTCTAATGGTTTGGGGGTTTTTGCTTGTTTTTTCATTTGTTTAATATGTTTGTTTGAGACAGGATCTCAGTCTATAGCCCAGGCTGGCCTTGAACTTGATGCAGTTCTCATGAGCTATAGGCATGAGCTATCATGCGTTGGTTGTTCTGATACTGTTTAATTAATTGAGGTGATCCTGTTGATGTTTGTGACATTTAGTGATTTTTCATGTGCTGAAATCATCCTTGTATTTTCAATCAGGAGCCATGACAGGTTAATATGTTTCTAAATTGCCTTACTAGCATGTTGTAGAGGATCTCTGTTTCTGTGTTGGTAAAGAATTTGGTTTTAGTTTTCTCCCTGCTGGTGCTTTCATGTGGCTTTGGTGCTAGGATACTACTGGCTTCATGGGACATGTCAGGAAGTGCTGCCCCTTCCATTTCCTGAAGTTTGGGAAGAATTGACTAAAGTAAGCCCCCTCTCCCCTTGTCTGCCGCAGGAGGCCGTGGAGAAAGTAACAGAGCACATCCACTCCCTGTCTGGGAAGAAGGACGGGCTGGTGCCCATGTTCATCAACACGAACAGCGGCTTCTTCACCCACCCAGGAGTGTTCACTTTGGGTGCCAGAGCTGACAGCTACTACGAATACCTGCTAAAGCAGTGGATCCAGGGTGGCAAGAAGGAGACAGCGTGAGGCCTGACCCACTGCCTTGATGCAGGGCCCCAAGCTTCTGTCCCCATCCTTTGCTAGAAGCTAGCAGTGATGCAGGTGGTTTAGGTCCCCTATGTGAACTTGCCTCCCAAATGGCATGAGCCATTCAGCAAGACCTGCCTTATATCAGTGCCCATATGGCAGATGCTCAGGGGTCTGAGCTTTGACTTGGGCTGTGTGTGTGCAATATGTGCTTCCCAGGGAGGGCTAGGTCTCTAGAGCTCGTATATGGGTCAAGCTCAGCGAAGCTCCTGGTCCTGTAGCTCTAGGGAAGATGGTCCCTGCCATGCCCAGAGTAATCTGACTTGTGCTATTCACAGACTGCTGGAAGACTATGTTAAAGCCATTGAGGGGATAAAAACACACCTGCTACGGCATTCTCAGCCTGGAAAGCTCACCTTCGTGGGAGAACTTGCCCATGGCCGCTTCAGTGCCAAGATGGTAAGTTGTATGGACTGACAGAACCTTCAGGAAGCTACTACTTTCTTTGTGGCTTCCCACACCCTAGAGTTGTTTTTTTTTTTTTTTTTTTTTTTTTTTTTTTTATTTTTATTGCCAGAAGTAACAAGGAAATCTGGTCAACAGCTATGTGCTGTGGCCACAGGTTGGCCTTTGCTGCCTGCCTTGACCTAATCACATGATAGCTTACAAACAGAGGCCCTACATGCCTTTTAGTAGCAGTCACTGGCTCTCCCAGGGCCAGCTGCCTTCCTTTTGGTACCTTCTATGGTTCCTGGAATGCAGCAGGTCTCTGAAGGTATTTTTGAGTAGGTTGAAGGGGTTGAGCGGGCCTGGGTCAGTATGGCTCCCAGGAGGAGCCTGCACTGTAGTTTTCCTCCTGAATTCTAGGGTACAGTATGCATTGCCTGGGCTTGAGTATGCATGTGACCAGTATTGCTTAGCCTCACTACCCCTGGGACTCCTTCCCTCCAGTTAGGCTAAGTGTACTTAGTTCTGGCCTAGCAGCATGGGCCTAGGTCCAGATGTGAGGAGACACTCTGATTCCAGGACCACTTGGTGTGCTTCCTGCCGGGGACACTGGCTTTGGGTGTCCATCATGGCCTTCCAGCTGACCACATGGATCTGGCTCAGGCACTCATGGAGACCTGCTATGAGATGAACCGACAGATGGAGACAGGTCTGAGCCCTGAGATTGCACACTTCAACCTGTACACTCGGGCGGATCATAAGGATGTGGAGGTCAAGGTGAGCCTGGGCATAGGCAGCATTTGGGTAAGGGTGATGCCAGCATGGGTGGATACTCCCTAAGCCTCCTGCTCTGCCCCTAGCCAGCTGACAGGCACAACCTGCTGCGGCCGGAGACTGTGGAAAGCCTGTTCTATCTGTACCGTGTCACAAGGGACCACAAGTACCAGGACTGGGGCTGGGAGATCCTGCAAAGCTTCAATAAGTACACACGGGTGAGCTGTTAGGTACCTCCCTGTGGTCTTGGCTGGTGACAGACACAGCTAGGTTCCTGCAGAGCTCTGGCTGGACCCACCCTTGAGACTGCTGTGGCACAGGTTGGGAGGAGCCAGCTTTCTTGGGCCTCTAGTTGGCTACCCCGAGTTGTATTTGACCTTGATAGTGTACTCATCCTGCTGGGCTCAGTGGCATGGGGCCCTGTTGTCTTTCAAGGCTTACAGATGTCCGGTGTCTCTGGACTCACTCTCAGAACTCAGGCTTTTCTGAGAAAGGGTCTCTTTCTCTTCTCTTGCTATGTGGTGCCCATGGTTTCTGAAACGTGCTCAGAGTGTTGCCCTCACCCCCACCATCCCTACCTGGAGTTCATGGCCTGCCTTGCCTTCCCATTGGGAAGGGTTAGGAAAGGTGGTGGGGCTAGGCATGGTCTGGTGTGACACCTAGCTCTTTTCCCCAAACCTCAACAATTTTATCTTTTTGCCTGTGCCTGCCCTGGGTTATGTATAACAAGCTAGACCCTGGACATGTCCTGTGGCCATACCATTATAGACACAGTTTCTGGCCACTCGGGTTGTTGGCATTTTACAGGGTCCTCATGGAACTGTAGTTGACCGTGCCCATTACTTAGGTGGTCACTAGCCCTGAGCCTACCCTGGGTTTATAAATGCTGGGGTTGAGCAAGTAGCCCGGGTGACACCTTTGGCTAGTGGCGCTTCCCAAGGCTTGGCTCTTCATATTGGGCCCAAGCTATGCTCCACCTGTGTCATTAAGGCTTTGACTCTGATGCAGGTCCCCTCAGGTGGCTATTCTTCTATCAACAATGTCCAAAATTCCCAGAAGCCTGATCCCAGGGATAAGATGGAGAGCTTCTTTGTGGGAGAAACGCTGAAGTACCTCTACCTGCTGTTTTCTGATGATCTGGAGCTGCTCAGCCTGGACACCTGTGTGTTCAACACAGAGGCCCATCCCCTACCCATCTGGGCTCCTGCCTAGGAGGATAGCCCGTGGCCTGGGGACAGATGGAGGGCTGACGTGGGCCTATTGGGTCTGTGACCTTCACAGGGCCCACATAGTTTTGGGCAGCCATCAAGTGTGATGCTCCTGCTCAGTTCTAGGCCTCTCCTGTCTCAGCTTTCCATGAAGATGTTGGGGGGAACAAGAGTCAAATCAGCAGGTATGGGATTCTGGGATATTTAGGCTGACTAGTCTACCAGAAGCCTTTGACTTCCTTGAAAACTCATGCCATGACTCCTGATTCCTATGCCCAAATGACCTTGTTGGCTGGCTGCAGGCAGCCCCCATGGTAGTCCCAAAACTTCTTATCACCTCCTGGCACCACTCAGGACTCCAGTACCTGTGTTGAGTTCAGAGTGATATCCCTAGTCAGTGAGGTGCTGGGCTTGGCCTGAAGGCCTGTACAAGTCCTGACCCACAGGTCTGGTGGGCCATGTGACCTCAAGGGGCCTTGTGGCTCTGGTGTTTACGGGTTGGACTCAGGGATCCTCCTGGCTACCCTACTGGGCTGGCAGGGGTTAGAACAGCAAATTTGTCTTATTTCCAGGACACCCTGGGATAATGTGATTTCTCAGCTGAGATGAAAGTGGACTTGGTCCCACTGTGATGCGTCCTGTGTTGGGGAGGGGGGTGGTATCTGTGGACTGGAGAGTCTGAACTGACCTTAAGGAACAGCAAGTTCTCTAGGTAACATTGTAGGGGCTGCCCCCTAGTCAGAACTGCTGTCACTTCAGGTCTGAAGAGCGAATAGGCCAGAAAGCTTGGTTTGTGCTTTCTCAGATGGTCTGTGATGATTACCTGCTGGCTGGTAGGAGTACGTGTATGGAAGGGGGACACCAGCAGAAGCATGTACCTTTCTCATAGTGAGATGCTTGTGCCTTGGTGTCTGAGCTCATGGAGATGAGGATAGAGTAGCCCTGTCTGACCTGTTAGTGGACTGTCCCTGGCCATGGATGGGGTTTTCCCATCCAAGACCAGGATAGTTCCATGCGGTAGTGTAGGGTAAACTAGACAGAATCTAAGGCACCTCAGGCTCGGGGCCTGTGTTACCTGTGCACCCCAAGATCTGGAGGTTTGACTTGCTCACTCCCCATCTGCAGCTCAGTGGCGGCCACCTTGTGTCTCTGAGGCACAGTAGTTGCCCCAGGGACTTCCTGTCAACCACTTATACCCCAAGCCAGCTCTAATCCCAAAGGTGTCTACAAAGGACCTGCCTGGTGGTGTGTCCTTAGGCCTCACTCTCGTGTGTAGAGGCTGCCTCCCCACATCGGGTTATATCCCTTCCCGTGGATGTCAGCCTCCCCGTGTTCTGTCCTCTGCACCATAGACTCGTGAACAGGCAGGTTCAGGCTTTGGGCAAAGCCTAAGCAGTTGAGAAGTATGTATTCTTCATCTCTTGCCTTGATCTCTGGAAGGTGTGGTCAGTACTGAGGGGACAGCAACTGCCCTGTGCCCCTCGAGGAGTTGCTGTGGGTCAGAATAACTGGGTTGAAGATGTCCACAAAGCTGAGCTGGTGGCACATTGAAGCAGACAACAGGGGAACAGTCCTGAGGAGGGAGGGGGGTTTGCTCCCCAGGAAAGGCAGATTTCCCTCCCTCTCACCCTAAAGCACGAAACCTGAGAGTTGGAGTCTGTGCTTAATTAAATGTCTAACTGGTCTCAGCAGGCTGTGTGCAGTGCGTTGTCTTGTCTAGAGCACATCCCTAGGGTCTCTCACCCCTCCACACGTGGACCTTGCCAGGCGAGAAGGACACATCTAGCCCAACAATCAACCATGTTTTATTCAGTCCCTTTCATCTGCCACCAGCCTTGGCACCACTTGCTTCAAGTCCATTGTAGGCAGGCCACCATGGATCTGGACTGTCAAGTCACAATTGCTCACATAAAACAAGGGATCTCTGAGTCATGCTGTGTCTTAGCTGGAAGAGTGTTGCTTCTCAGGTCCAGGCCACCTGGGCATTGCTGGTTGCTTTGGTCTGGCTGCCTCTACCCACTCACGGATGAGGGCAGCTTCCAGTTTACGCACCTCCACGACAGATTGAGGGTCTGCTGAGTTAGATGCTCTAAGGAGCAGACAAATGAGGAGGGGTCATTCAGGTGCCAAGCATACAGAGTGAGTGAGCTTCATACCCATCCAGCCCACATCCCACCACTGGCCCAGATTCATCAAGAAAGGAACCAGGTGGGCTGCGCCTCACTGCACCTGAGGTCTAGGTGATGTGCTCCCCCGTGGATGGTGACAGCGATGATTGATGTACTCAGGTTTCTCCGGATCTGTTGGGAGGAATCTGAAGCATGTGGCCTGTGCTTTAAGCCACAGGTAGGCAGCCCCCCTCCCACCCTGGCACTGACAGATGCCAGCACTGTCTGTGGGATGCAACTGAAGCAATAACGAGCTTACTGCGCAGCTGCAAATAGTGCCATTGGAAAGAAAATTGAAATCTGGTGGACCAGATGTTAGACTACATTAAGTGATATGGGAAGGAAGCACTCAATAGAAGAGTAACAGGAGCAGAGTGAACCTGAGCGTGAATCTGAAAAGGCAGAGGGTTTTTTTTTTTTTTTTTTTTTTTTTTTGAGAAGTCTGGCAAAGTGGGGAACAGTAACAGTCACAGCCCAAGCATTGCCAAGAGTACCTATACAGGGCCATCAGCTGCCAGGTCAGGACTTACCCCGCCCCCTGCCCAGGGGTCTAAGTCACCGTTGGAGAATATTATGTTGCTGGCAGCTTTAAGGTCTGAAAGGAACAAAGTAAGTGGTGGTAAGGTATCCAATATGGTCCTTAAATCTGTGAGCTGCATCTGGGGGCTGCAGAACCAGCTCAGGACAGAGGGTAGGATCCTTCCCATCTCCCAGTCCCAATCCCCAGCTCTTTACCGCCACCCCAGAAGCTGGTCCGCAGCCAGTCTGGCCGGGGCCACACGCCCCATGTATGTAGGCAGTATTCCTGGCGGAGTTCATCAGAGAATGGGATGACAGGGAACATGTCTGTCACATTGTTGCTGTCAAAGGTCAGATTGATCTCTGTACAGGCCTGCAGGTACCACACAGTGAAGTAAGACAGGCAAGCCTCACAGCCCCACCCCTACACTTGGCAGTTCAGCTCCCCATGTCCACAAACCTGGTAGTCCCAGGCCTTGGCATTAGAACCAGTGCCACATCCAGTGGGGTCAGCACAGCTTTGGTACAGCCGGTAGATGTCAAAACAGGGCTCCATGCCAGAGGAGTTGTAGACTAGCCCTAGATAGGAGGAGTGCTGGGACCAGCAGCCAGCCAGACACTACATGCTCAGGCTATTTCCCACCCACCTTAAGGAAGCCTAAGGTAGGTGTACCGTGGTGAGAAAAGCACTAGGGTCCATGGAATCCCACCCCCGGTACCCTGCCACACACCAGGGCATGCAGAGCTTTGTGGCTGGAGATTCCAAAGGTCTCCAGGCAGCTGGAATGTGCCTGGTAGCTGTGCCTGTTCCTAGGACCTCTGGGAAGTCATGCTACCCACTTCAACCTTTGCCCAGTCCAACAATACAGGTCCTGTCCTTTCAAAAACTGTACCGAGTCCCCTATTACATCTCAGCCTATAAGACAAAGCTCCAGGCCAGGGCTATGGGTCCTCCAACTCTGTTAGGTTCTCCACCCTTGCCCCATGAAGGCCAAGTAGTAGACCAACCTACTAGCGCTCGTAGGCCCATGATCCTCTGGCCCTTACTCAGCATCCGTTCACAGGCCACCTGGAGGAGAAGGGCAGCAGAATATCTCAGCAGAGACCCCTTGCCCAGCTTGACCTTCCCTGGTCCCAGAATGTAGGTCAGGGCTGCTAGCCTACAGAGGAATAGTATGTGACAGTGCCTATGCACCCAGAGAGCCACCTCACCTTGACAGGGTTGGCAGGAAGGTTCCCAAGGAACTCAGTAGGGTATGGGTAATCCGTCATGGCAAGCACAGTAAATGCATTCCGGGCAAACACAAAGAGCTGAGTCAGGTCCTTTGAGCTGGAAAGCGACTGGCAGGTACCAAAATTCTTCCTGATGGTGTCGTGAGCTGGGAAGGGAGAGGCCAGGAGAAAAGGCTGGGGAAACTGCTGGCAAATGTGAAAGGCAAGAATGAGTGTCCAAAGCGGACAGCAGGTGAAGAAGGACGTCCTCACCTCCTTGGAGGAACAAGTCCCTGATCTGTTGGAAGGCATCCCGCACAGCCTGGGCACACTTGGGACTCTGGCCATAAAAATCCTGGAGAAAAGGCCATGGTTACTGCCGCTGCCATAGCTGCACTGCCCTGGGGGTACCTAAGTACACTCACTTACCGCTGTGACGTCTCGGAAGAATTGGTAGGATTCACCAAGGCCTGCGACAGCTACCACAGGAGCACTGGCTGCCAGTGCCCCAGCCACCAGGTGGGGATACTTCATCCTCATGTAGGCGCTCAGCATCCCCCCATAACTGGGGATGTCACAAGATTATGGCTGTGGGACACGGCCTGCATGCTCAGGCCAGCGCCCTCACCCTCCTGTCCTCCAGGCTGAGGTTCCTTGGCTGAACCTGTCTCCTTCCCTTGGTCTTTCCCTGCTCAGAACCCAAGCGTGGAAAGAAGGGCCTGAAACTTTTAGACCCACTCATGCTGACCCAAGGGCCAAAGCAGAAGTAACCTTCACTGGGAAAAAGGCACCTGTGGACGCCCTGCCCTGACCCAGCATGAAGACACTGCTGAGACAAAGTCGGGAGGGGACTGGCCCACTAGTGTGAACAACTCAGCAAACACTACCTATGAGGTCCAGTCAAGGAGGAGGTAAAGCTAGACCAGGGCTACCGTGTAAGAAGTTAAGGACTGAGAACACTGGGGCTGGGCAGAGGATGTGGCAAATGTAAGAGACATCTGTTTGGCCCTTCCTGTACAACAGGGTGGACATCAGGGAGGGGTAAAAGTAGGGCTCCCTCAGATCTTGTGTCAGGTCAGATTGGATAAATACGCCTCTGTCTTGAAGGGAAGTCAAGGACCTACCTCCCTCCGAAGGCTATGGTGGGAATATCCTGGACCTTAAGATCCTGCCGCAGGGCCTGGAGCAGCACAGCAAAGTCCGCCAGTGCCTGCTCCACGGTCAGCAGCTGTGTATACCCACGCTGTGTGGACTGCAAACCGAATGGAAGCGATTTCCCGTAGTACCGCTGCAGGAAGCAGGAAGGGATGTCAAACTGCTGCCTCAGCACTCCCAGCTCCTTCAGCTCAGGGACTCCCAGGATCTGTCCAGGTACCCACGTGCTCGGCAAAGACAAGCAGGGCTTCCTGCTGGGCCGCCAGTTCCACCATGAATCCAGAGTTGTTAGCGAAGGTCCAGATGTCCCCCTCATTCCCCGTGTAGAAGAAAATGGGCCCCTTGCCCATCTTCCAGAACTTATCTATGGGAAGTATGTGAATTTTTTGTGAGGGTAGGGATAAGCAGGCAGAAAACGTACTGTGGGGACAACACTCACCTGACACCAGGAACCGCTGGGCAAAGGTTTTGTTGCCAAAACTCTCAAAGTTGAAGTGGTCCATGTATTGTTCAAAATAGTTCTCCCGAAAGTCCGGGTCTAGAACTCTGTCAGCTGAGGGCAGGGGCAGAGGCTCAGGAGCTGGCAGGGATCATCGGGGACCCAGAAGGGTCAGGAGAGAGGGCAACCAGTCTACACTCACCTCTGGCCTGGAGGTTACACAGCCCCAGTCCCAGCAGCAGGACCAGGACCCAGGAAGGGACCCCATGGTCCACAGGGACACAAGGCTGAAAGCTCATGCCTGATTCTGAGATGGGTGCCGGCAGTCATGTGACCCAGGTCACATGTCAGACACGTCAGGCGGGGCAACGTCACATGACAGCTTCACAGGGCTGTCCTAATGTAGCTGGATTCTAGCTGGAGGACCACGGTTACTCCTCCCTTTTGCATCAGCCTTTGGGTCTTTTGATCCAAATCTGATGGGTTCCCTAGGCTCCTATTATGTTCTCACAGAGGATCACTGTGGACCCAGGAAGCAGACAGAGGGCTAGGGTGTGTCAGGACTGTATGGTCTCCCAACTGTCCAGCTGCTGAATACCACATAGTGATGGGAGGGTCCTCCCACACAGGGATACTGCAGGGTGTTGAAGTCCCCAGGAGTTGCACACCCACATCTCCCACTGGCTGTTGGAGCTACCTACTCATTCAGCCTGTCAGCTATTCTGTGTCCCGGGCACTGAAAGCTGAGCTGGGACATCACCAACACCTACGCAGTCAGAATGGCCACCCTGTGCCCAGCCCTCAGTTCTGGTCAGCAACCTTGCTTCGCTGGCAGGCCCATAATCCCAGGGCCAGGGAAACTGGGACAGTTCTGTCTGCCCTGAGCGAGTGGCCTCAGGAAGGTAGGGATATTGAGGGTTGCTTCGGAGGGACAGTGTCTCTGAGAAAGGACACTGGGCTTATCTGAGTGGCATCAGGGATCTCTGAGCTTTCAGTGTGTGGCTGCTTTCTTCTCCTGACTGTTGGCACTGTGCCTGTGCCTAGACAGAATGGGGGAGAAGGAGGGACAGGGTTTCTGTTGGAAGCTGCCCTCTACCTGGTGGCAGGGGGTGTGCAGAGAAAAGAAAGAAGCAGTTTTCTCTCTGAAACCCAGTCCCGGGTCTGGAGGAGGGGAGAGATCCACGGGAATTGGGAC